TATTTTTCATTAAAAAAAATGTAGTATCTGTCTCTTATACGCCACCATATAGTTTCAAGTGCCCATATCTATGTCGAAGGTCAAGACATACATACAGTACAAATAAATCATACAGTGTATATTATAAAAAATTAACAAGTTAGATTCATTTAGAAGTTTACTACTGTAAAGTGAATAATTATTAACACTTCATTAAATGCAGATTCTGAGTGATGAATTTATGAATTTAGTAAAACTTTATAGTATTGTAAAATGTTATTCTTGGATTCCTCGATATGCCCTATGTCAATTTCATGCTTTAAATATATACATGTATTCCATGGCCAAGAAATGACAAACAGAAAATGTGAGGCAAACTTGTCCATTGTTATATTATAAATTTATAATAAGTTCACCATCTGAATAAATGCCAACCAAGTTAGAATGACAGATATTGACAATTTCAAGACAACTAGAATCGTGTGGTTTTTGTCATGTTGTAATGTCCATTTAACTATTAATAACGTCCCAATGAAATATACTTTCGGTTTTATCTGTCAAGTTAAAAAATTTAATGGTATATGATCTCTTTGACAGAAACATGAATCATTCCATACTTTTTTGGAACTTGGATACTAACTCTAATTTCATATTTTTCATTGGTCAGCAGAATAACTGAAGTTGTGGATCCAGGAATATGAAATAGAGGGGGCCTTGAAAGAGAATTTGACAGAAAGAGGTTCAGACCACCTCAGCCACACCATGGCTGGGGATGAGATATTGGAATATGTGGCAAAGACAAGCCAAACCAGTCACTCGTCGTGATTTTAAAGAGTAAAAAAAGAGCTATAAAATGGTAAAAAAATTGTTCAAATCCGACATTTAATTCTGAAGTTACAAGCATTTAAGCGTACAGCTGTTTGAAGAACAATATATGAGAAATCAGCCTTCAAAGTTTATGATTTCAGGCATTTTTCATGCAGAAACTATCATAAAATCATTAAAAAGTGTAGTTTTAACATTGAAATTGGGAAAAATAACAGCAAAGCATGATGTATAGATACATAAACCTTAGTTTAGTGAAATAAAATAGATTTTAAAAAAATTATACATTCTAGCATGTTTTTGCTATTTTCTTTGAAACACAATTTGCGACGAGTGACTGGTTTGGCTTGTCTTTGCCACATATTACAGTATGTCTATAGCACGCACATCTAGATGGCTGAAAATGGCACTCTCAAAATTTTAATGATCTCTAATTTTCGCTTTCCCCATTTGTTTTTAAATTTTTAAAAATTTTAAGGAATGGGAGGGAGGAGGGGAAGACAGCTGGGCCCCACCATTGAATCCGCTTATACTGTACACTAATGATCCGCACATTTCTTCAAGACACTCATTATTTATTATCAGAAAAAATGGGCGGACGAGTAGAAGGGAGAATGACACTTTCCAACAAATATTTTTTTCAAGTAGTTTATTTAGAAATTTAAGGATTTTGAAGGGCGTCTATAGTGGATGAATAAACTGCTTGATTAACAAATTTTGATTTCTATTCCCTTATTCACTTCCTTTCTTCCCTTTAAAATTTGTAACCTAGTTCATATTTTAAATTAAATTATGTGAGTAGCCACATTTTTATTTCAAAAAAGCAAAAAAGTTCACAACTCACACTGAATTAAAGGAACAGTCACACATTTTTTCAACAAAAATTAAAAATCTTATTTTCAACTGGATTAAAAGAAAAAAAGAATATCATACTGTATACAAAAAACTACTCTAAACATAGGCTAAGGAGTTCGTCATATGAAGATTTGTTATTACTGAATTGATAATTCTTCAACTAGCATATTTATTATTTTTCATTTAAAAAAATGTAGTATCATACACTTGTTAAAATATTATTTTCTATGATATTAGATGGGAATCTATACTAACTGCATGTTTCTGATTATCTGCGTATTCCCTTGGAAAAATTCAAATACGTAGCTCAATCAATCATTAAGATAAGAAGTTCCCCTAAAAAACTTAATACCAAATGAAGCTAGAGCAATCACACACAGTTAAATAGTCTCCTCCATTTATTTATTTATTTATTTATTCTGCCTTTAACGTGATAACACTTTCAGTGATGCAGCACTGATCTCACTAGTGGATCACATGAACAAAAAAGTAGAACAAAAACAAACATAAAAAAAATATACAGAAACTTAATAACTAAAATAAAAAAGAACCAATTCAAATGAATTAAAAAGAAGGCAAGGAACAGAGGGTGGTCAGAAAGATATAATTAGTTTTCTGTTTTGATCAAAGTTTTGAAATTTTTAAGTTGGAGATCATTTAATTCTATTTTAATTTGGTTTGGAAGTTTGTTCCAAGCCTTAGTTGCACGGTATAAGAATGTTCTCTTGCCTTGAGTGAGTTTCCATTTTATCTCCATCAAGGTATTGTTAGATTTATTCCTAGTGCACTGAGAGTGGCTATTTTGATTAAAAATGAATTTGTTACATAGGTAGGATGGGGCAATTCCTTTCAGGCACTTAAAAGTGAGTAATAATAGGTGTTCTTTCCACCTATCATTTAACCTATTCCATCCTAAATCATCCATTATATCCTTGATGGGTGTTTTAATGTCGACTGAAAGAATAATTCTTCCTAACCTATTCTGGAGAATTTGGAGCTCATTTAAAAGATTAGTTGTAGTGTTAGACCAAATGCAACTGCAATAATCAAATAAAGGCATTACAAGTGCATTTGCTAACATTTTAGTTGTGTTGAAAGGTAGGAACTGTTTGACACGGCGAATGACACCAATTCTTTTAGAAACTTTTGAAGAAATATTTTTGATATGAGTAGCCCAAGTTAAATTGGAATCAAAGTACATGCCAAGATATTTAGAACAATCTACTTTTTCAATGTTAATATTCCCATGGATAAGAGAAATATTAGAAAATTTAGGAAGCACATGGGGTGTTCCAAATATCATAAATTTAGTTTTTTGTGTATTTAAAGTCAATTTATTTTTATTGAACCACTGACTAATATAATTAAGGTTTGCTTGAAGTTCAGTGGGATTAGAGGAGCTGCAGAGAATTTTTGTGTCATCTGCATACATTACGCATTTACCTTTAATTATATCAGGGAGGGAGTTCACATAGATATTGAAAAGTAAAGGTCCTAGTATTAAACCCTGGGGTATTCCAATATCAATGTCCATAGCATCTGAGCGTGTCGAGTTGATTTGGACTATTTGTGATCTACAAGATAAATATGATTTAAACCAATTTAAAGACATAGAATCAAGACCAAATTGGTGCAACTTGTTAATGAGTAGTTGGTGATTCACCGTGTCAAATGCCTTTTTTAAGTCAACAAATATAGCAGCAGTCACTCTACCTTCATTAATATTATCTAAAATGTAATCGGAAACATCAATAAGTGTTGCAGCAGTAGAATGGTTTTTACGAAAACCTGATTGAGCATTGTTTAAAAAGTTATTAGTCGTAAGATAACCATACAACTGTTCATAAACAGCTCTTTCAATGATTTTACTGATTAACGGCAATACTGAAATAGGTCGATAATTGTTTGTATCAGCACGATCCCCTTCTTTGCAGATGGGTGTAACCTTTGCCTGTTTCCATTCCAAAGGGAATGTGGAGGTAAAGAAAGATAGGTTAAAATATATGCCAGTGAATCACATATTAAAGGGGCAGCGAACTTCAACAATTTTGTATCTAAACCATCTAGACCAGTAGCTTTATTGTTGGAAAATTTTAAAATTTCATCTAAGATAAATACAGGTTCAATTAGGTCAAAAGTGAAATTTTTATTATGGGAATTAGGAATATTACTGTTATTATTATTGTTAGCAAAAAAGAAGGGCGGATTATCACAAAACTGTGTCGCTATGGATGCAAAAAACTTGTTGAATTCATTTGCTGTTTCATGATCATTCTTAGAAAATTCTCCGTTTTTATAATTTTTTTCAATATTATGTTTATTTTGAGGAATTAGTCCACGAATGGTCTTCCAAATCTTTTTAGGATTATTAGTATTATTATTAATAGCTGAAGAACAGTATTTTTGTTTTAAGTATTTATTGAGATTATTTACTTTATTTCTTAAATGTTTAGCTTGTTCCCAATCATTAGAGTTATTTGATTTGTGGGCTTTTTTATAATAATGATCTCGGTCTTTAGTAAGTCTTAAAAAATCACTTGTTATCCACTTTGGAAGGCTACCCTTTACTCTTTTTTTTTTAAGAGGTGCATGGGTGTCACAAATGGTGCTAAATAAATGTTTCCAAATAGACCAAGCACTTTCAACATCAGAGTAAAGTTTAATTTGTGTCCAGTTAGTTTTTTTGAGGTCATTTATAAATTCATTTTCAATAAAATTTTTGAAAGATCTGACTTTAATAATTTTTGGTGGAATTTTAATTTTAATAGTGTTTCAAATTAGGTAAGTGATTCTATTATTAAATGCTTGTAACATTTACTAATATAAAATATTACTAAAAAGTTCTTAAACAACCTTTCGCTTTCAAAAGTACAAAAAAAATCAGAAGAAAAAAAACATTATTTTTGGGAACTTAAAAGTGGTTTCAAGATTTTGCTGATATGTGCATAGGAAGTGTCAATTTTCTGGTTATATAAAGTGCATAAAATATCAAAGGAATCGGGCTTGTACTTTCTGAATTAACTGCAAAATCATGTTAAAGTATAAAAAGCCTTTTAAAAAATTACTTTGAGAGTTAGCAATCGGCAACATAAATGATGAAATTCGTTAACCTTTTTGGAACAGTCATTCCTCTCTTGGCTTTAAAATTTCAAATTCAACCCAGGATGTAATGATGATTCATTATTTTTTCTTCCATTTTTTACTTTTAATTCAAAGGAAATACTTAATAAGGTATGAAACTCAATTATTTAATTAATCTTCTTAACCTGAAGATCTGATCAGATTTAGAAGATAAAAGTTTTGTCCAAATATGGAAAATCTCAGTAAAGTTTAATCAAATTTTCTTTATGAACAATAATTTAATGTACAGAGTACATAGAATTTTAATCAAAATTCATAGCAATTTAGTTTTGCATTTGGATTGGAGAATATGTGTTAACTCAATATCATATGTGGTTATCAGTGACAGATACAGGAATTTAAAACAGTGGGACACAGAGTGGGAATGGATAGTGGGACCAGACAATCTCACCCCACCATGGTTGAGAGTGAGGTACAAATGGGTATGGCACCTCTAGCAAGGACTTATAAACCAGAAGTCTTTGCTGTTAGTGTCAGATGGCTAGAAATGGCACACTTGTATGTTATAGTTTTCCACATTTTTTTTTTTGATTTTCCAAATAAATCTGCAGCTTGATATAACCTGTACTGTAAGAATAAAAAAAAATGATGTGACCAAACTCACTGGCTTGCTTTTCTCGTGACCGGCCATATGAAGCGTCTCGAGCCATTTGACATCTGTCGGAGGCGGGGATTTACTTGACCTCTGCAGACTCTCAATTTGTCCGTTCTCCGCTTCTCCTTCGGAGCTTCGGTAGATGTACATGTCCCTCGTCATACTCACTGACCCTGTCAGCTGCCGCAGTTTAATTTTTAGTGTGTTCCCACTTCCAGATACTAGAAGAAAAGTACAAGAATAAAAGATTCAAAGCAATAATGCAAGTTTGGTGATCATCTTTTGGAAGAGCCTTTAAAAAAAAAACCAATCTAATGTATTGTATTAATAAAATAATATTAATGTGAAATAATTCTATTTACTAAATTTTTTTCATTCATTTTCATCATCACATCTTTCCTGTGACTCCCACATCTCCCGTTAAAAATGTACACTAATAGTGATGTCATTTGGATATAATCATTTTATTTGTTTCATACACACACTTTAATCCTGCATTTGTTTTGCACTCTCAATAAAAAAAAAGGATGACTTCTTAGCCGAAAGGTAAAGAACCGATTACAATTTAAATACAACTAAGCAAACTCAAGAAGACAGGTGAAACTTTAAGTCATGTTAAAGAGATTGCTGTTTCCCCCCTTATTTTGTTTCCCTTGCTTCATTGATCAACGGATAAATAATAGGATTCTATCATCCGCCTTTGTGTAAGTGAGGAGGATGATGGATTCTCCTGCTCACGAAATCAATTAACAGAACTTAAACTTATACAAGAGATTTATTGACCTAAATGCAAGCTAGCTAGATACTGAAGGCTTGATTAAATTGCTATAAATAGAACTTGTATGGCAATATGCAAGTAATACTAACATTATTCATATTACATCATTGTAAATATTCAATACATATCTGTATAAAAATTATTATTAAGAATTTATTGATGAAGGCACACGATACTGAAATTGAACCAAAATCTTCAGGCAAGATAATGCATTGAGTGAATATTAATTTTTGAAAATACAACCTTCCATAGGACTCAAACCCAATGGGTAGAGGGTGATTTATATTTTTTTGTTTACATCTTGGGCAGATAAATATCATGTTTTGCATATACCTGTATAAACTGATGGAGTTATTAAGAAAAACAACCAAGGCCAGGTTGTAAATTTTCAAGTAAAACTGTAATAGAATTAACTTTATGGTCAACACTTTTATAGAATTAATTTTATGCTCAAATTAGTTGAGTACCTTTACAATAAATCACCTTTTATGGAATGTTGATCTGATTTTTAACCAAAAACTTGTCCAACAAGTTACCTAACTTTTAATTGTATCCCCTGTTAATCACTCGTAAACTGCTTAAAAAAGAATTAGGTTAGTTAAAAGGACTTTACAAGTAGAACACTTAAAAATTCCAATATTGGAGCTAAACGTGTTTGTCTACACCTTTGCCTGACTAATCTGATTTCCTGTTCTAGTAAAATCATTCCAATTGGTCACAGTAACAGAGTCGACTGATTAATTTGGACACAATAGTACTTGACCAGTTACTAAAGAAACTGGTCAACTACTTAAGATGTTATCAAATTTAGCTGTCATAATCCTGTCAATAAACGTCACACATTTAACTGTTACTACAGTTCCCACCACTCTGATTTTTCAATTTATTATTCATAGATTGATTATAAAATATAAAATGGAAGATAATTAAGATATAGATAATTATTGTAATATTTTGTTGAAACAAACTTTTTTCAAAACATGATAGGAATTTGAAATAATAGAGGATAAATTTAATAACATTATTCATTTGGCAATATTATGAACTTGACATTGATTTAACTATATTAGGCATATAAGACTAGTATTGCAAAAAATGAACATTTTATCTCTTAATGAAAGCGTATTATGGAGGTCTTTCAACTAATCAAGTGAATTAATTGGTACCTGGATATTAACTCTTTGAAATCTGGATTCACCATAACCTTGAATCAATTTAACAGTATCAAACCGCTGCAGTGATTAACAGTTTTTACAAACAATCTCTATTAATTTGACAAATGTAATAAGACACCAATACTGTAGATAAAATTGTTGAAAACAAAACTTTGAAAATTAAGAACCGAGTGATACAATATAAAAAATTCTTGCTTTATTGAAAGCAACAACATATTGTAATTCAATACGCAAAAAAAGAGGGAAAATTATCAAAGTTGCCGTCAAAAAACACACTTGTCAATGAAAGTTTTAAGCCGGAGGGTGGGACCCTTTCAAGGTAACCAACGTAGAAAACCACAATACTGTGATTTTTACAGTACGTATGATGTAAACAAACATAAAATCTAGCATTGTGTTGCATTGTTTACTTACAATGAATAGTTCGTATAGTAACAGGTCAAGTGTATGTATTAACTTCCTTCTTAATGAATAAACCCCTGGATTATCACACAACCTTTCTTAACTTATAGTAATTCATTTATTTTTTACGATTTTTCTGTAATCCTTAGGAGTAATAACTCTGTAATCCGAACAAAGTTTGTTTAGCTGTATATAAAGTTACATTTATTATCAATTTGTATCTTATATGTTTACACTGCATGGCTTTTTTTCCAAAAAACTTCGAAAATTTTATAATTTCTATAAGATTTGAAAAAAATAAACAAACCTTTCCATGTTAAATAAATTAGCCTCATAATTATTATTTTTATTAAAAGTTGAGCATTTATATTTTTTTAAGCATTGAAGTTCAATTATTATATAATATTTGGTTACATTGTATCATAATTAAATGAAATTAACATAAATTAAAATTCAATTGTCATATAAATGTTAATGAATATAAAACAAAGATAAAAATCATAAAAATTATCAGTTAATACCTTTTTGTTTGCAAGAATGTAGAAACAGTCCAACTCGTCCTTGCTCTGCTCCGAGAGTTGCGAGATAAAGCAGCGGATTAAGAATAGACTCAAAGGGTAACACTAATCCAAAAATCCATTGGATCAACCCTTTACTTATAGACGAGCCCGCATACGCATTAAATCCAACAACTAACACGGGAATCCAGCAAACAGTTGTTGATAAAATGATGAAACAAAAACGCTTCGCAAATATAATTTCTCTTCTGATTACTCGTGCCTCCATTGGTATTGCCATAATCAGCATGTTTTTCTGTCTCTGTAGTTGGCAGATTATCAGAAATATTTCTAATGAAATCGTTACCACAATAAACGCTGAGTAACAAAATAACACCAATGTATAAATCCATAACGATTCCTGTGGAGGTCGAAGTGGCAAGCAAAGAGTGTCCCAAAAGTGTTGCACATTAGGTTGAAAATATTGCACAGGCAGATATGGAATGGCAGAAACGGCGCAGACCGCTACCCATTCCGCTAAAAATAAAATTCTATAAAACGGTAAATAATTCTTTGTCCTACGGAATTTCCTGGGGAAGAGTTTGCGAAGGAGGAGGTCCGTGGACATCGTTATCATTATTGTTAGAGTCATATTGAATGCTAATGTCCCTATGAATCCTGTCAAATTGCAAAGGGATTGATACCTATGAAGAGTCTCCCGTGGCGTATTCAATGCAAAGTTTGCGTCCATAGCAGCTATGAGAATTAGAAATATAGAAACTAAGGTATTGGCAGCGGCCAGGTTGTGAAGGAAAAAACTTGTGATTCGGCATTCTCGCTTTTGCAGCAATCGAATCACGAAACAAAAAATATTGATGACGATAGAAACAACAATGCAAGTCCATATGAACCCAATTAATATGTTTGATGCAAAGAGCGCCATGATGTCTGCGTTTTCCTCTTCTCATATGTGTTGAATTTGTAAGTTCATATTTCGGGAAGTAGTCACAAACCTGAAAAAAAAAAAAAGAATAATTGGATTTTATTTTGATTCTATTTATTTGATCAAATATTATATTCAAACATTTTAATTTTATTAATACACTTATTAAAGCATTATTATTAATAATAAAACAAATTATTATTATAAAATATTATCATATGGTAGGCATACCATCAGGTTTCATACCAGATGCTTACTGAGTATTCTGTTGTTGGTTAGACTTTTATTCAATTTTTCATTTTTGGCACAAATTACAATAGATGCCAAAAATCAATCACTTTCTAAGCAGCAATTACCTCTTAAAAAACAAGAAGATCAAGAGAGATAGAATGGTTCGCTCAGATAGAAAAGGGGTTTAAACGATACCTGTTGAAAATTGAACGATTTAGCTTAATAAACTACAACTAATGTATTCCTAGTCATTAATCATTAATGTGCTGAAATGGGGCAGATGCAAATGGTGCGATCGCATCCCCCCCCCCCCAAATTGTATTAAGAAAAATAATTGTTGTTGATTATTGATATGAATTAGGCCTACAGGTAAGACTTTTAAGGTACGGAGGGCAATATTCTCAAAATTTTCCCACCTCAGCCCCAACATGGTTGGACTCTCACGCACCCTCATCTGCCAAAATCCTGCATCCGCTCCAGCTGACATATTTGTATGGGTAGCAACATCAGTGGTGTTGGGGGAGGGAGATGTTGTCTGGGGATTATGCCCTGGACCACAAGGGCTCCCACTTAAACGGATCCTTCAGCTCGCCACTGAAAATATGTCGGTCTGTTTGAAAAGCCCAGTTTTTAGGACCGTTTTACATTCTCCCATTGAATATTCATAATAAATAGAACCACCACGATTAATCGCAATCAAATTAATGTTTCGATTACTTTCATATAATTTAAAAATCTGCATTCTATTTATATTTAAATATTAAATCGTATGGGGGTGGGGGACCATACCTAGGCTAGTTAGCCTGGGGCAGTCGGCTAAGCAAAAGACAGCAGAACCTACTGCGTAGGCTACTTACACAGGTGGTGTAATCACGAAGGAGTTTGGTACAGTACTGTAAAGTAACACTAACAAGGCTATATTTTAGACCTACAACGACGGACAGTCTCACAAAACTTTAATAACTAAACTGGCACTGCAATATTTAGCACAAACTTACATCGATCATGATGAAACCGTGGTTATACTGACTGACTATCTAAACCTCTATTTTTCGAGACAACAAAGTTTTCATTAAATGATTGACGGATGAACTACAGGGGGACCCCAATTTCGATACTATGGGACGCCAACGAGGCGTTCCATCACGTACCAAGTTTAATATTCAATTATACGGTTACGTAAAACAACATTATGCATTCTTTGGCTAGCCTAAGCCAAATATATTATCAATCGCATGATCGAATGTAGCCTAATTAATATCACAAACACGTAGGCTACCTTTAAACCTTCGACGAAAGAGCATTACTTATAATTTCAATAACTAAAAAAGAAAGAAATTATCCAGGCCTAAAAAAAAATCCTAATAAGCAAAATTATTTTTTGGATAACTTACAGACACGTTTAACCGAACGATAATATATCCAATCGCAACTCTACACCGACCACTCAAACCAATAATCTGGAAGATGTACAGAATTGCAAGTGTTCTTGTTCAAACTGATTCCACAATGAATCACTGAATTACAGACCAATGTGCTCAGCGCAGTGACTAAATGTCGATCTAACGCAGTCCCATTCTCAACAAATCTAATTTTCCCCGGATAAGAAAATTAACGTCTTTCCTATTCTAGCGCAGCATAACTGAACTTGGCTGTAACTGTATCGTACTGGCTGCTTCATTTTTGTGTTGATCAAACTCGCGCACTGCACTGACGCCGAGATTTCTCTGCGCATGACAGAACTTAACGCCATAGAAACTCAGCTTTTGTTTTTCTCCAAAGAGGCATCGGGCACGCGTTAGGTCGGCACGGTGGGAATTTTGTACCCTTAGGCACTATGATTGATATTTCTCACGCGAGAAGTGTCTGAAATAGGTCATTGGTTAGAAGAATGCTATCATGCCCACGGCGTTTAAGTCTTCAGCCACGCGAGTTTGTTTTGGACCGAAATTTACGAGAATCTTTTCGATCAAATCCAAATAGGCCTAAAATTCATCATTCAATTGAAATCAAATATTCAATGAATCGTCATTGTGTCGTCGGCATCAAATATATTTGAAATAAAGAATGCACGGCTAAACCACGCAGGCTACGAATTAATGTTATTATATGATCTACAAAAATGTTTATAGTAAACGCCAGCTTTTTATCAAGTCTATCTGACCGCAAAACCATCAATTTAAGTCTAAATACGATTCGAACGACAAAGAATCATCTGCTCTTTTTAGATTAGGCCTAATTTAGATTAAATCTGACCGATTCTAAAGTAATGAGAGCATTGTTAAGGTATAACTTATTCCTCCATAATCAGATTTTATTTGTAAGCCGCAGACCTTATGATGGCAGACATTATACTCCTATTTGGAGTACATAGAAAGTTATTTCCCCATGGGTTTTACTTTTCAGCTGCAGAGACCTCCTTCCACCCCACCCCAATCCAACCTCCATACGCTGCTTGTTATCATTCCCTACTTAATCTGTTACATTTCTACCCTCCTGTTATATCTGCTCTCTGGGCCGGGAGTATCCCTAGTCATGGCTGCTTTACGCGCACAACCCATACGTTCAATTGACACCATCCCACCAGGTGCTCATTTATATACACTTGGGTGAAGAGAGACAAATGTAAGCAGTGGCGGCGCTACAGGGGAACGGGGGAATTTCTAGCCTCAGAAAATTGTCTACCCCCATTCCCCAACCCCAGTTTCCTCCCCACCCCCAAATAAGAACAACCATTGCGGAGAAAAAATTATATGCATTTTCTACTACATACTAGTAAACAATCCTCCTAAAAATCGATTAAATAAACCTCTGAAACCCCTAATTGTCATATTTTTCCGGGCCTTCGCCCTCAGGACCATTTTCGAGATATTTTGAAGGGAGGACGCCCGACCACGCCCACCTCGGGCTACCCTAGCATATTCACCCCCTAAAATTTCACCTTGCCTCCTCACTTTCCCCCGCCCCGTACATCGCTTCATTTGTCAAGTCCTACACCCTCACCCTTCTCTTCTCTATTATCCTCATACTTTTTTTCTCCCGAGCTATTTATAATATCCCGTTTTGTTGCTCTTCTTTCTTCTGTCATCTTTCGTTTTAAGTTCATGTTATCTATACACGTCAGGCTATATCATTGATTTAGAAACTTGATTGTTGGACTCTATTCGTCTGTTTAATGTTGCATTTTGATGAGTGAAAATCGCATTAATCTATCATTTAGCGCTTGAGAAATCTCTTCACCTCCACATTTTAACAACTCACACACTCCGTTAATGCGTTGCCGTAACAACAATGAGAATAACAACAGTTTTCTTCATTTCTACGCAATCAATACAACTGAAGTTCTTAGATTGTTGCCTTGTTAGGTTTCATAATAGCCTAATGGACTCGTTTTTTTTTTTTTGGTTTTTTTTTCATTTCTTTGTGTTTTGAAAACTAAATACCTTCGATTTTTCACATAAATTGAATAGGCTAATACAACGTTTAAACCAAAGGCTTCCCCTAGGCTTCAAATACACAGGGACAATACACAAGGTAAGCCTGTAGCGAAGTGCAATGAAACACGTACAGGTGAAATCAATTATCTAGTCCTATTCTTTTGAGAAAATGACAGAAAGCCAGGTGTAAAATACACCACAGCATTCAATACTCGTTGTGATTATGACCACTGAAGAGAGCGTAACATTCTGGTGCTTTACGCGCACCATAGACTTTTAAGCAAAGTGCGCGATGCGGATGCGCTGCGTCTAAATTAGTACCCCGATTAGTGCACACTGATATAGCATAAGTCGTCTTTAAGACGTTTACTACAGTACTCAGTACTCAATTTGACTGATAGGTCAGAAAAAAAAAACGTCAATATTCTTTAACTCTTTTTCCTAATGTGGGTGGCAGTGTTGGTGTGTGGGACTGATATGCATACGTTTAATTGTGGAAAGTAATTAGGCCAAACAAGGAAATAGACAATGTAATATACACAAAACACACAATCATTCATCTCATTAG